CTTGGATGTCGGACAAGAGGGCGTTGGGAACAGAGGACTGCGCGATGGCATTGATATAGGCGGTGTCCTCCTCTTCACCAACATTCGGCAGGGGAGGATGTGGCTGAGGGTGACGACTCAAGACGTCTGCTGGGTTGGTAGGGCCAGGTTCATACACCAACTTGAAGTGGAGGTCTTGGACCTTGAGAGCCATCCGTTCAATGCGGGGTGGAGGTCGTGAAGACGGGTGAAGCAGCTGTAGAAGGGGCTTGTGGTCGGTGTGGACCGTGAAGCCGGGGTCGCCGCTGAGGAAATGGGAGAAGCGCAAGCAGCCGTACTTCACACCGAGGGCTTCGCGTTCCGTTTGCGAATAACGCTGCTCAGTGGGGGTCAGGCTGCGGCTTGCGAATGCGACTGGTTTCAGCTCGGAGTGATCCTGGACGACTGCTTCAGGAGACTGGCAGAGGATGGCGCCAAGGCCAACGGGTGAGGCATCGACGTAAAGGTGAGTGTGTTTGGTACGGTCGAAGTAGGCGAGGGCCCGATCAGCTGCTATGTCGGCTTTGATGGCATCGAATGCTGCCTGAGCCTCGGGTGACCAATCCCACTGCTGACCCTTGCCAAGGAGTTTCCGCAGGGGTGCCGTCTTGGTGGCCATGTCGGGGATGTAATGGCGCATGAATGTCGCCAAACCCAGGAAACTCTTGATATCGGAAGCTGACTTGGGTGTGGCGAAAACAGCAATGCTCTCTTTGTGGTGTGGTGCAGCCTGAGTGCCCCGGCGACTGTAGATAGTCGACATGAAGGCCAGGCGGGTGTGGCGAAACTGGCACTTCGCCAGGTTGAGGGTAACATTGTGGGCACGTAGGCGTTGCAGGCAGGCGTGCAGGCGCTCATCGTGGACTTGGGCCGTCTCGCCGTAGATGAATATATTGTCGTGCACGCTGCGAACACCTGGGAGACCCGCGAGGACACGGTCCATGGTCCGCTGGAGGATCTCAGACGCTGAAGCCAACCCCATGGCGAGTCGCTTGCACCGCATTAGGCCGAGGGGTGTGTGGAACACGGTGAAAAGACGGGATGACTCGGCCAGTGAGATCTGGTGGAAGGCCTTGTTCATATCCAACTCGGTGAACACGGTGGCCCCTGGCATGTCGGAAGTAATCTCCTCAAGCGTGGGGATGGGATGGCGTTCCCGTGCCGCAACGGCGTTGACATCACGGAAATCCTGCGTGAGGCGCACTTTGCCCTTGCGCTTCGGCACGACCACCATTCGGGCAACCCATGGGGTGGGGCCAGTGGCAGGCTCGATGACATCCAATGCGAGCTGCTCATGGAGCTCAGCGAGTGCGTCCTCCTGGAGGTGGACAGCCACTTTGGATGGTGCGTGAGCGACAGGGCGGGCGTTGCCATCTACGTAGATATGGGCTTCTACGTCGTTGATGCAGCCGAGGCCCTGGAAGCGGTCGTGGTACTCAGCAAGGTCGTCTGGCAGTTGCGGACTTTCGATGCTGTGGACCAGCTGGATGAGGCCAAAACGCATGGCGGTCTCGCGGCCAACGATAGCAGCGGTACGTGGCGCGTGTGCGACAACGAGGAATGTTGCCGTCGAACTCATGGTAGCGGAGGAAACACAGAGGGTGATGCTGCCCAGAAGAGGAAGAGGTGACGTTGAGCCGTAAGCAAAGATTTGCACATCCGTTTTCTGAAGTGCTGCACCAGGGGCAACCTTTGCCAGGTCATCAGTATTGATGATATTGTGACTGGCACCACTATCCACCAAGACAGTCAGGGTACGCCGTTGACGTGCACGGTGCGCCGGGCATCCTCACGGCAGGGTGCCGTAGACGGGCGAGGCGGAGAGTCGGTAGAAAACAGCTCTGCGCCGATCTCTAAAGAATGAATGGCATGGTGGCCGCTGTTGACAGCGTGCTGGTCAGAGTGTTGGTGGGGACGGCGTTCCCTGAACGTGCGGGCCTGGATGGCGGAGTCCGAGGCGCGGCATGCTGCAGCGAAATGGTTTGGCTTGCCACAGCGGCTACAGAACTGGCCCTTGGCAGCGTCACATGTGGCATGGCCTGGCTTTCCACACCGGTAGCAGGTCAGACCGGATGAGGTAGACTGTGGACACTGCGCTTGGGGCTGGCGTGCAGCTGCGTAGCCGTGGCGCTGTGACCCCGAGAGGGCATCCACATGGGCAGGCTGGGGTGCTGCTGACGCCAGGGAAGCGACGTGGGCGTCCTGCTGTGAAACCACTGAAGAGCCCAGAGAGGCGTCCTTGATGGCGAGTACATGGGTGATGCTGGCCTCATACGCGCGGGCTGCTTTCAGAGCTTTGTCGGAGTCGAGGCCATCGATCTCCAGCAGTTTTCGCCGAAGGGCGTCGGACTTGCAGCCGATAATCAGCTGGTCCAAGACAGCCAATTATTATTTCTCCGCGGCCGTATCCGGGAAGCCGCTGCGTTTCACGTGGTCGCCCAAACGACAACAGAAACCCTCCATACTACACCATAGTCTCGTTCGGCTGTTGACGAAGCTGACGGAAATTGAACCTGAGGAGCGTTTTGTTTTGGTGTTTATCGAACTCGTCCTGCAATGCTTTGGCGAGGTCGTCGAATGTTGCCCCTGTGTTGCTGAGAGTGGGCACGAGTTGCTGGATGTCGTCTCCTCCCAGGTACTGGAGTAGCCCACGCTGTTGGTCGTCATCGCCAATTTTGGACGCAGCAAGATAAAGTTTGAAACTCCGTGTCCAGGCGGGCCAGCGCGTGGCGGCATCGTAGAGGGAGACATAAATAGGAAAAGGTCCAGGGGGCGGAATGGCGGGTGGTCGGTCACCCATGCTCGCCGCGGAGGAACGAAATAGCTCGCAGCGCCAATGTAGTATTGTTTCTTCTTCAGTCCAAAACAACAAGAGTCCAGAGTCAAACCATGCACGTACAGCAACTAAAAAGTAAAAGCCGCCAAGTCCGTTTCACGCGCGCGCGGGAAACGGCACATGCTACATGCATAACATCACGATGTACTACTACTACTACATGCATCATGAATGTCTGGAGTGGCCAAGGAATGCCACAGCGCGTAGGAACACGTGAACACTACACTATCCTAATCAAAAGGAAGAGAACATTGATGAAGAGCCGCGGTAGAGGTAGGTGACAGGCTGATAGTGAATGTGTGCAGTACTATAGTGGTACAGGTCGTCCCTCGTTAATACATAATCTCTGGGACTTGAGAAATGTTATGTATTAACGGGGTTTATGTACTAAACGGAAGTGTACATAACTTGCTTGTGTACCAGAATTTTTCACTTTTTTCCACTTTTCTGAGTGTTTCTTGCTACCATGACTGGGGAGTGAGATATTCTTGATTCCCTCGATATAACATAAACATTATGTTATAACGGTCACAGGCAGCGAAGATTCTACAGTTTACGTGATACATGTCCAACCGCGCCTGTACAGTCACTCGGAAAAACAGAGCTTTGTCGGTTTGTGATGTGCGCTCTGATTTCTGAGCTAATTGCGTCCACAAATAGAAACTCTGAGAACACGATGTGCCTCCACTGGAAGGTCAAAAGACCTACAAATTATGTACTATTGAGGTAGGCGGCATGCGGGTACGGAGAAATGTTATGTACTAACGGGGTTTATGTACTAACGAATTATGTACTAACCGACAAAATTTGTATGGAAGTGACCACGTTTCGTCCGGGACTTGAGATTTCTTATGTACTAACGGGGTTTATGTACTAACCGGACTCGTATTAACGGGGGACGACCTGTATTGGTAAGTAGTACTATCTACGCAGGGCCATGACATGTCCAATAGGGCTTGAAAGTGCTACGTCACAGCATAGCAACAATTTCAAAAATTCAAAAATTGGATCCACTTGGATCCAGTTTTTGTATGGATCCAAGCACATTTCAAGCCGTCTTACTCTCAGCAAGGTGATGTAACCAGTGAAACTGACTGATTTGGCTACTGGGGGCGGGGTTACAACTGGTGGCGAAATAAAAGTCACACCTGCATGCGACATGAGTGGGTTGCTATGTACCCACATACTTAGGCAATAGCAAAGTCACACCTTAGTGGATCCAAAAGTAGAAATCTGATGTCAACTTACTACTCCCTGGCCGTTTTGACGTCATCACTTTCAAGCCCTATAGGGCTTGAAAGTGCTACGTCACTCCATAGCAATGGCATAGCAACAATTTGAAAAATTCGAAAACTGGATCCACCTGGATCCAGTTTTTGTATGGATCCAAGCACATTTCAAGCGGTCTCACTCACAGCAAGGTGATGTTGCCAGTGAAACGGACTGATTTGGCTAGTGGGGGCGGGGTGACAACTGGTGGCGAAGTAAAAGTTGCACCTGCATACGACATGAGTGGGTTGCTATGCACCCACATACTGAGGCAATAGCAAAGTCACACCTTAGTGGATCCAAAATAGAAATCTGATGTCAATTTACTACTCCCAGGCCGTTTTTGACGTCATCACTTTCAAGCCCTATAGGGCTTGAAAGTGATGACGTCAAAAACGGCCTGGGAGTAGTTATAGGGCTTGAAAGTGATGACGTCAAAAACGGCCTGGGAGTAGTAAATTGACATCAGATTTCTATTTTGGATCCACTAAGGTGTGACTTTGCTATTGCCTCAGTATGTGGGTGCATAGCAACCCACTCATGTCGTATGCAGGTGCAACTTTTACTTCGCCACCAGTTGTCACCCCGCCCCCACTAGCCAAATCAGTCAGTTTCACTGGCAACATCACCTTGCTGTGAGTGAGACCGCTTGAAATGTGCTTGGATCCATACAAAAACTGGATCCAGGTGGATCCAGTTTTCGAATTTTTCAAATTGTTGCTATGCCATTGCTATGGAGTGACGTAGCACTTTCAAGCCCTATTGAGTGATCTAGACTTGTTCTCACTTTGGCCACCAATATTCTCGTATGCGAATCGTTCAGAGTATAACTTCATTTTCAGGCTCTCTGGTGTGTACATTCTCTCTTGCTGTCCAGGGTTGCTGCACTGTATATTTGTAATCATCGCTGACTGGCTGTTGGAATAGTATTTGATGTGTGCACGTGTATGGATCCGTCCCTTCCTCATGTAAGTGCCCCAGCATTTGTGATATGAAGTTGAGTGATATAGAACTCTCAAATATAGCACCATTTGCCAATCAGCGGCCGTTCTAAGCGGGATATATTCAGCGATATATCCCGCTCCGTTCACATGGGTCACTTCGAGAATAAGGAAACTTTAAGCCTAGTTCACATTCGACGTAACGCTGACGGTATGGGACGTAAGGGCCTGTTGGGACGGCCGGGGTGAGCTGTAAAATCTTGTACGATTCGTAAGACACAACATGTAGTATGACACAACATGTAGCAGCAAGAGTACATAACCCCCCAGAGTGTGCAACGCCGATCCAGCTCTGCATAGGGTCTTGGTCGAGCGGAATCGGATCTTCTGATGTCATGCGTACACTCCACACCAGCTCAAGGCCGGTCTCGAGGCAGGGCACCATTGTTTTTGATCCAAGAGTACCTGCGACTCCCCGGGTTCCCCTCAGATGTGTACGGTATTATGACGCAAAGATCCGATTCCGCTCGACCAAGACCCTACACAGAGCTGGATCAGGCGTTGCACACTCTGGGGGGTTATGTACTCTTGGTAGCAGCAAGAGTACATAACCAAGAGTGTGCAACTGCCTGCACAACCTCTATGCTGTGCTGCGACGGCAGAACTTCACATCACGTGACATGGTTCAAAAGGTTATGCTGGCAAACAGTGCAAAGTGACCACAAGAGAGTTGTACCCAAAGCTGGGCTGCGTACAACCCAGTATCTATCATGCACTAGAGTGCACGGGTTCATCACGTGATGTGAAGTTCTGCCGTCGCAGACCCCATAGCTGGAGTTGCACACTCTTGGGTCATGTACTCTTGGTAGCAGCTATTGCAATTTTCAAGAAGTGACACGAAATCTTATCTTCCTAAAATTTGAATCAGTTGTGCTAGCCATTCGGCGAGTTATGGGAAGCGTAGTGTTGACCGTGTTTGAAATGTTAAAAAACCTAAGTGTGCTGTTGTGCGCATCGGGAGGGGTCAGCGCACGACACATCCCCTGTTCACACTCGAATGCAATTGTTTTGTACGCTTGCGTCCCCGTCTACGGTCTGAAAAGTTGAACTGATCCAACTCTTCCCCTCGCTTCCCAATCTGTAGGATAGAACGGTTGCGTTCCCGTTCCTGGTGTTCACATTGGACGCTGTCTGTCGGCGTCATAACCGTTCCGTCGGTTCCGTCAATCCTTACGTCGCGTCCCGTTGCGCCCCGTCGAATGTGAGCTAAGCTTTCGTGTTGGTCACGCTCTGTATTTAGGAAGGTACCATGCAAATGGATTATACCATTTGCACACTGTGTATACCGAATCCCCCAATTGTCCCTCGTCCTAACGCACTCTCGAAAATATTCGCCGTGTACCCCTCATACTCATGGTATAATCCGTACCTAATAATTATATAATCAGTATCATCTGCTGTTTATTTTCCATTGCAGGTTAACGTCTCAATCAAGCATCGTCATCAAAACTTTGCACAGAAGAGTGTTTGTCAGCGGTGTCGGTCATCCTCTGGGATCCCCTTTCTGTTATTACTGAAGCTCAATTCCCAATACATGAACTGCTTTCCACAATGCGCAACATGCAACACCTGCGATGAGCTGCAATCGCGACAGACGATTCACAATCTGTTTTGTTTCTGCGGCATCTAAGTGCAGTGCGTAGTACCCTCACGTGCAACCAGCCTAGTGAATTGCGCGACAGTGCGCGACAGGCATTTCCTCGCCGCAAGTGTTACATCGCAGAAAGTGATACAGTCGACCTACCCTTATAACGATATTTGCGTCAGACCAAGAAATATTGTTATAAGGGTAATATTGTTATAGGGGTAACTGGTTCATTTCATACACATACGTCATAATGCATGAATTCTGTTCATTTTTTACACTCTTCATAGCATAAAAAACTGACGTACATGCACATTATGTGCACAGCAAGGTGCCCACTGGCGCCCCCATTGCATTCCGTCATGTCCCAGCGACTTATCAAGTGAAGCTTGTCCTACCTGGATAGTGGGCTCAACATGTTGCCTGCTAGATATTGTTATAAAATGGAAAATGTCGATTGGTCAGCCCATTTTATATCGTTATAGGGGTAATATCGTTATAGCAATATTGTTATAGAGGTAAGGCATTGTATACACAAGTCAATGGAGTGATTTGGTTTGGCAGAAAAATATCGTTATAAGGGTAATATCGTTATAGAGGTTATCGTTATAAGGGTAGGTCGACTGTACATGTAATTGTGAATTGTAAATACTTTTAATCTAATTCAACTTTTAGTATATGCTTCTCTTTGTTGAACAGCAATGGGTAACCAACTCTTCTCCTGTCCATTCATTCTTCTGCTCGTGTTTGTATGGTGGTTGTATACTGTATACCCATTGAATGATATTTGTACTACAGTATCAGGTTTTGTGTGGTGATATATTCACGTCCAAATATGTTCAATTTTCACTTGAGCACACAAGGGTTAGAAGCTTAGAAACACTATACATATATTCTTTAGGGTGTTCTCCATTGATATATTGAAAGATCTCACCTGTTCAAGACGTCCATGTCGACTTTGAGGCCGACTTTTGCATCGATGTCGGCTATTTTCTAGCACTTAGAAAAATGATCCCTACCACCCGGGACGCATTCTATCGCGTTGTTTGCATTCTCCTGGCGGCAGGGCATTGCCAAACTGATAATATTTCATATGAAATAATTCAAGGGATGTGGAAGAAGCCTTCACTGCTCGACCAGGCCGATAACCCTATTTCATACATACCCCAAAACTAGACAAATTCGAAATTTCTCAAGCTTGAGAACGTTTCCCGGCAAAAAAAACCCTCGAAATCTGTTATATCGGGATTGGTCGTTTGGGAAGGAAAGGACTGATATGATCCCGGCCAATGCCCATCCTTGGATGGGCACAGTCGATGCGCCAGATTTGAAAAATCACTTCGGAACACAGAGTTCTATTTTTCAGATGCACCCTTTTTGTGCACTTTTCTCAAGGCATTCTCAACATTTGATCGTTTGCATGTAAATACACTGCTTGCCAGTCTCACGCTTTCTCGGAGTTAGTCGTCACACTCGAGGATTCAGTAGGCGCCTTTCACCTTTTTCTGTTATGAGTTCTTCTAGAACGGCGAAATTCTGTAGTTTGGTGTCGCTGCACGTCGGTTTGTCTCTTTTCCTTTTTTCGTCGAAATTTCGTCGCCCGACCTATAATTTCGTGCCACCGAATTAACCAGGCATTTCGCTGCTTCTATGCTGGACATATCGAAAGAGTAAGTCTTTCTGACATTGGAGCGGAAGTTATGTTCTGGCCGAAAAAAGGGCATGCCTCTGGTGACGTGATTTCTAACTAGTGTTTTTACGTATATTTTCCATGCATGCGTGCACATATGTCAGCGGCAGGAAGACCCAGCAATGCCACAAGCAAACATACTTGAAGACCATGTGACCCAGAATGCAGCATTTGCTCCAAAGTGCCATCAGACAAGCGATTTACATGTGGCTCAATGCTGTCAGACTGGCAAAAGCTACACACATGCATGCACATCCATCACGTCAGACCAATGCATTTATTGGAAGTGCGTCAAAGCACTACGACGCCAAGTATGCACAGCAGCGAAAGAAAATAAGCCACCATGTACCAGTCTGCCAAAGTACATGCAGTGTACATGATTGCAGCGCAGCGGCATCCGTACACTGTCCGGCCTGCAGACAAACTGCACGTGCACAGTCTGAAAGAACAGTGCGAACCGGTTCTGTGCCCGGCCCATTACCAGCAGTGTGTGGGCCATGCAACATGTGCTTGGTGTAAGTCGAGGTTCACACCAGAACACAGGACAGGTGGAAGTCACCAAACTTTCAACTTGCAGAGCATGAGTTGCGTAGCATGCACAACGTCTCCCTGCCGACAGTGCACCAAGCACAGACCACCAATTGCGAAGCATCATCTCTCAATACAGCACGGAAGGTGCCGAGAGTGATCTTCCCAATAATTATAGCCATTGCCGCTACAGCACGTGAATTGCTGGACAAGGGTGCCATATTGTTGACGACAGTGGACGATTTGTATACAGAGACTTCGCACCCAACTGCTGACCCTAAGCCAGCGGCATACGTGCTCGGCAAATTGAAGTTGACCCTGGAGCACCACTTGCACGTCATTCCACCCAAGTCGCGGAAGGATGGCAGCCTGCTACGCAATGGATGTAATGCTGAGCAGGCACTACATATGATCCTTTCTGCAGAGCGTAAACACAAGATAGAGTAAACACCAACAAAGATGGAAGACCTCACTCTGCCATGCTCACAGCACAATTGATAGCCAGCAACCGCATACTGTATAGCAGGAAATTTTCGGATGGAATTTATTTTCGTACGATTTTGTACACGGCCTCTTTTGTACTAAAATTAATTCCGTACTAAAATTTGTTCATGTGAAATTATGCACACTATACATGCGTACTGCATGCGAACACGTGCATTTAGCATGCAGCACTGTACGAAAATATAATCCCTACGACAGGTCGAAATTCGGCTTTGTCCGAAAATATTTCCGTCCGAAAATGTCCTGCTATACAGTAATACCAAGAGTAAAAAAAGGTTTATGTACTCTTGGTAATACATGTACAATCATGTACTTCACTGTTCACAAGTACACACCATGAGAACCCATTTACACCAAGTTCTATTATCGGGCAATGCCATTATGCTCCTAGCACGCGGCACAAGAAAATTATAGAGCTTCGCCGGCATTGCCTTGATTTTGTCGTAATGTGATGGTGTGTGCGTGCGTGTGTGTATGGTGTGTGTGTGTGTGTGTGTGTGTGTATGTGTGTGTGTGTGTGTGTGTGTGTTGTGTGTGTGTGTACATTACATATCGCCCTATCAAAAATCGGATGGTGAGCCTATGTAAGGCATGGATAAAAAGAATAAGGACAAAATGTTACGAGTTATGACTAACTGTCCACCATGTACCAGTGTAGCTAGATCATATACAGTTGGCGAGTGCGACAAAAGGCACAAACTGAAAGGGAATACTAAGACATACAACGACCAAATAATATTCAAATAATTTTGACCTGGAAAGAAATGTCTATAATTTCGTGCCGTCGGATTAACCAAGCATGCACCAAAAGGAAAAGTATACACGCTTAGACATATATTATTAGGCAATTATCTGCACCAACCTGCATTCCGGCCGAAGCATCATGTCGGGTGTGGTGGGTCGGCATTCCAACGTATCTCCACACACCAGGAAAATCGTGAAGCGAGAATTCTCTCGTCTGCAACTGGCAAAGTCTTCACTTGACACTCAAGTTGAAATTTCTAGATACCTAGCTAATAGGAGCAGACTTCAGGACATTTGTCGCACTCGGGAATCGTCAGTTCGATCCGTACAGGGTTGGCTAGACACAAGAAATATAGCAAATTTCATTGACTGACATCTTCATCTTTACCAACACAGCTCACCACATAAACTTTCGCGCGAAAAAAATAAAAAGACCCACTCAGCTGGCTTGGCGCATCGACTGGGCAGGCGAATCTCGGATCGATCGATCGAGGTACTAGGTGGCATCGATGTTGTAGTTTGACGTTTACGTTTATAATCGCCTGGGAGAGTGAAGCTGCTGGAAGTAACAACGGGGAGCCCGTTTGTATCACCTGAACAACCAGACTTCAAAGCAGCTTGACCAAATCGGAGGGTGCCTCGGTGCTTATCGTGAATATTACACCGACATGAATTACTACAAGTACACTGGTGAGTTTTATCTTGTTTTGTTCGTATGCTAGTACCCTGGCCTGGAGTTCTCGTTAGCAAATTCCTATTCCCTGGCGTTTTCTAAACATTCCGTGTAGTACTGAATACGTGATCAAGTATTCCGATTTGGGTAGATGTGGAATTTGGACATGCATTTTATAAAAAAATTCTATTTTCCCAATAGAGCGTTTGTAGTGCAATTCAAATGGTTGCCCAAATACAACAAAATTGATTCTGCAGTTCTACAACTTGTACTGAAATCCAGTCAAAGTAAAAATGATTCTTCATGACAGTTGGGGTCAATGAAATCTGATCCAGGCATAACGAATAGTGACGCCTGCCACCCCGAGAACGAATGCCCATTTGGTGGGGGATACCTAAGTACTCGAAAGTGGTGCATGTTTCAATGTGGCATGGAAGTTTTATAATAATTATGATCACTGGTCAATGCAACATGCGATAGCCATCATGAATTGCAGGCCTCGAACGCAACTCAGACCAGAACTGGCAGTTCCCTAAGTTTATAATTCCATGGCCCCAGCTGTGGTTATAGAAGTTTGTTTGCACATTATTCTTATAGTCGATAGGTTTATACTAATGGCCACAAACAGCGGCAGTTCAAACTTCACTGACGTGTTCATGAGCTGAGAGATTTCTCTCCACTATGTCTGTTGTGCATACAGGTCTGTCCAATATGCATTGACGGTATTAGGTATGGTATCTACTCTGAAAAGGGAATCGCTGGAGCCACAGTCCAACTAGACAGGCTTTCAAGAAACAGACAGGGTCCATCTTCCCAAGCTGATACCTGATGTGTACCGACAGAATTCTCACGAGATACCTTACGGACAACGTGTGGTGTGTACTTCATAGTACTCCTTCGACTACTATCTAGAATCAAGTCGACCGAAACAAGTTCAAACAACTCTGGCTTCAAACGAGCCGTCGATTAGACAGACAAAACATTCTCTCATATACTGGAGCACTCTGACAACTCACGACCTATTCCTAACGATTTCCACCGCTTATACATATGTAGAGTGCTGATTGGAATGTGCTCGCAATCTCAACAATTCAGTGCTATAATTATTTGAACAATGTGTTAGAAATTATTCCACTTTTCCTTTCATAAATGTTGTATCCACATATAATCCACAGTGCTCCAAAGTTTCAGAGTTCTCGGGGTATCAAACAAAATTATTTCAAATACAGTGAAATTGTTCGTGGACATTATAACGTAACTAATTTACGTGTAGTTCCCTGGTCCTTTTCTTTGCTATAAATTAATCCTTTACTCTCTAGCCACCTGCGAGTCCAACAGTGAAATTGTTAGTTCATTTTTATAATGTGGATATGTGGGAGGGGGTTGAACATATTTTTTATATAAGGGACCTGCAACTGTAATACCACAGTACAGTAGCCGGCAAATATGTAGAAAACAGAAATGCATGTTCCCATCATTGTACATGGACGGGCGCAGCAGGCCGAAGCTATCAGCCAGAACAGAATTTACAATCACTTAGAGATACTTGAGCTATTCCAGTATTCTCCGTGAGCAGTCCCATTCCACAATGGTTCATGCCACCTGTAGCGGTGGCTACTTAGAGTAGTTTCGCCTGACTGTTTATTGCAAAAGGGGGAACATTATCGGACACGGAAAAGCACAACTAACTGTAAGGAGAGCAGAAACGAAGAGGCCCTACACAGGAATCACTGTGTAGAGAAGACAGAGAGCGGAATAGACTACGGCGCTGCGTGCACACAACAGCGACCGGAAGCAGCGTGCCCAGTACGGGATGCCATGTATAGATGGAGCCCGAGGGCAGTGCACTCAGACATGAATACGCACGCGCACCCGAGTACTGCATTCAGTGCGGGGACTGTGCCATAGAAGGGGAAGGGTTAGTGATGCGCAGCCAGCAAGTACAGCGGTACATGAATGCATGAGTCTATGGTACAGCAGGCAGGGTGCGGTTCTTACACACGTACGCACGTTAGATCAATGCGAGTGAGTGTAGGGAGTAGGAAGGAGAAACCAGGAGACAGACAATGCTATGCCTAGGGATAGAGTTCTGTCATGATGCTACTCATTACACTACATCTCCCCTAACGGAAAGAGTTGCAGGCCCAGACAATGCTATGCCCAGGGATAGAGTTCTGTCATGATGTTACTTATTACACCACATCTCCCCTAACGGAAAGAGTTGCAGGTCCATGTTCACATGGTCGAGATGAGCCGCTCCGGTGCGATGGCTGTGCGACCTGAACAGGTAGTGGAGGTGGCACTTGTGTTGGGCTCGGCGGCAGCAGGCATGCCGTTTTGGCTCGCCACAGGAGTTTCTCCACCGCTTTGGTGGCTTCCGGCTGCGGAGGGAGTAGCCGTGAGGTGTTGCAGTCAGCCGTTGCAGTAAGCTGTTGCAGTCAGCCGTTGCAGTAAGCCGTTGCAGTGAGCCGTTGCAGTGAGCCGTTGCAGTGGGCCGTTGCAGTGGGCCGTTGCAGTGAGCCGTTGCAGTAAGCCGTTGCAGGTTGCAGTAAGCCGTTGCAGTAAGCCGTTGCAGTAAGCTGTTGCAGTAAGCTGTTGCAGTGAGCCGTTGCAGTAAGCGGTTGCAGTGAGCTGTTGCAGTGAGCCGTTGCAGTGAGCTGTTGCAGTAAGCTGTTGCAGTAAGCCGTTGCAGTGGGCCGTTGCAGTGAGCCGTTGCAGTAAGCCGTTGCAGTGAGCCATTGCAGTAAGCTGTTGCAGTGAGCCGTTGCAGTGAGCTGTTGCAGTGAGCCGTTGCTGTGAGCTGTTGCAGTAAGCTGTTGCAGTAAGCTGTTGCAGTAAGCTGTTGCAGTAAGCTGTTGCAGTAAGCCGTTGCAGTGGGCCGTTGCAGTAACCCGTTGCAGTAAGCCGTTGCAGTAGGCCGTTGGCTTGCAGTGGTGTGTCGGGAAGCGATCGCGGATGCGGTCATCGCGAGCGTCCTTGAAGTCGCCGTTGTCCGCGCCGCCGTAGAGACGACGCAGAAGTGACTCGTCCACGGTCTCGGATGGCGACTGTGTGTCGCGTTCGAACATCGTTCGTCCGTGGACGACGTTGGACACGGGCGTAACGTATGCCGAGAGTTTCGTCTCCACTTCCTGAGATTTATCGCGATCGCCGGCGTTGTCGAACGCGAGCCATCCTAGATCCTGAAGTTGCAGACCAGGTTCGTTGCGGATCAATGTTATTTTTTTATCACTGATCCTGTTCACTGCGCCATGTAGCGGTAGCTACTTAGAGTAGTTTCGCCTGACTGTTTATTGCAAAAGGGGGAACATTATCGGACACGGAAAAGCACAACTAACTGTAAGGAGAGCAGAAACGAAGAGGCCCTACACAGGAATCACTGTGTAGAGAAGACAGAGAGCGGAATAGACTACGGCGCTGCGTGCACACAACAGCGACCGGAAGCAGCGTGCCCAGTACGGGATGCCATGTATAGATGGAGCCCGAGGGCAGTGCACTCAGACATGAATACGCACGCGCACCCGAGTACTGCATTCAGTGCGGGGACTGTGCCATAGAAGGGGAAGGGTTAGTGATGCGCAGCCAGCAAGTACAGCGGTACATGAATGCATGAGTCTATGGTACAGCAGGCAGGGTGCGGTTCTTACACACGTACGCACGTTAGATCAATGCGAGTGAGTGTAGGGAGTAGGAAGGAGAAACCAGGAGACAGACAATGCTATGCCTAGGGATAGAGTTCTGTCATGATGCTACTCATTACACTACATCTCCCCTAACGGAAAGAGTTGCAGGCCCAGACAATGCTATGCCCAGGGATAGAGTTCTGTCATGATGTTACTTATTACACCACACCACCATTATTTCTGGTAGTATCCATGTGCATAGTTCCAAGACCATCTCGGATTCTTCAGCAATTTGTGCCACGGCAAAAGTCAATGCTTGACTCGGTCACTGGGGCTGTCAAACTTCAATTTCTCATCTGTTTCAAGTATATGTACTGCCATGACTTGACCATGCTTCATCCACAGCTGGGCGAAGATTGTGGCGTTGAATTCCATAGCGCACCTTCTTGCTGCCATGCAGGAGTATGTCGAGAGAAGTGAACATATTTTTACTAAAAAACAACAGCCACTGAAGAGGATAGCAATAGCCCTGGGTGAATTTCCTGCAGGTACACGTTGTTGGTAGGTCTACTGGTCGGTCTCCATATCGTCAAGTTCAGAAATCACCTGTACTACACATCTTGTAGAAGGGATCCTGATCGAATAATTTTCTGGTCATAATTTTCTGGTCATAAAATTCACTAAACTGAGGGCGAGACAAATAGTCAGTACTCCCCGATTCCGTCAAGCTGCTTTGAAGTCTGGATGCACATGTGATGCTAACAAGCTTCCCGTTGTTACTTCCAGCAGCTTCACTTTCCCTGCGACAGCGGCTATCAACCTCTCTCTCCATCGTAGACAATTATCACAAATTCAACATTCTACATTTATCAGCACTGCACTGGGTGAATATGTCTCGAGACGAATTTAGCGGATCAACAACGCTTTGCTGGAGATGAATTCTCCTCTGGAGGACCTTCAGGGTACCTGGAAGGGTATAGAAGACGGGATCGCTCACGAAGTTGAGAGAACATAGAAAACAACCTCCTCTTCGATTGAAAATTGGCCAACAAAAAGTATGTGAAATGTATGTGCGCAGATGCATTTCCACTGGCAAGCTAATCCCTCATTACGTCATCAGCGCTCGCTCGGCGAAATTCAAAAGTCGTCTTCCTGCTCGACTCGATCGCTTCTGGAGACTCGTTCTTGTTCGAGGGGTCTTCTCTTTCACCTACTAGTACCTTCGTCTTGGCATCGAAAACTCGGCGTCGAAAATGAAGCCGGAGTGCCTTAATGCCTTATTTTATTATTATACGCATTCCCGCGGCAGCGTCAACCAAGCAGTTATGCTTGATCCACACGTTCGCTTATGCTGGACATTGAAACAAAGCAGATGTAGACAGCTCCTACTCCTAGAGAATGGGGCTCTACAAAACCAATGATCGAAGTTAGTCCTTCAGTAACATGGAGCGTCATAAAATTGGTCTCATTGGAAAAATGTCATCACTATTGTCTCCTCATGTAGCATCATGGTCAATGGGTGGCCAGATAATTATACGTATGAGGTTGAGTTGCCAGATAATTATTAAAAGATTCAAATAGTAATATGCCTTATAATATCAAGAAAGGTGCGCTCAAATCGGCCACCCCACAGATTCCGTTGGCGGCAACATCAAGACGAGCCTGATCAGCGCAGTGTCAGCGGTCGTTGTGGACAGAAGCCGTCTAGCTGGGGGGGGGGGGGGGGGGGGGGGTCTCTTGCACTCTTGGTGTCACGTGCAAGCTTATCACGGCGTGATGTATGACGTAGTTGAGCTAGTACAAAAATACACACTCCAGCACTGGCACTATGGCCAGGCCCAGGGCCGGCCGTAGACTACGTAGATCTACGAGGGCCTAGCTAGCCGGACTACAGTAAGATCGGGCGCCGAAGAACGCAGGGGCACGAGCGCAGCCTAGGAAAGTTCTTAATTTTTTGATTCTAGCCAGTCGATGCGCCAGATTTGAAAAATCACGTCGGAACACAGAGTTCTATTTTTCAGATGCACCCTTTTTGGGCACTTTTCTCAAGGCATTCTCAACATACGATCGTTTTCATGTATGTACGTGCTGGCCAGTTTCACGCTTTCTCGGAGTTATTCGTCACACTCGAGGATTCAGTAGTCGCCTTTCACCTTTTTCTGTTATGAGTTCTTCAAGAACGACGAAATTCTGTAGTTTGGTGTCGCTACACGTCGGTTTGTCTCTTTTCCTTTTTTCGTCGAAATTTCGTCGCCCGACCTATAATTTCGTGCCACCGAATTAACCAGGCATTTCGCTGCTTCTATGCTGGACGTATCGAAAGAGTAAAGCTGTGTTCACAACTGGCGCGTGGACGCTGTACGCTTGCGGTTCATGCGCCCCCAAACGCGCGCTCAGCCTTTCACAAAAAACAGCAATCCGAGTCGTATTTAGCGCATGCGACACCTTCGAGTACTAATTTTTTGACCCCGCCAGTCAAAGTGACTGGCATGTACGCTGATACGCGCCTGATACGCGCTGAAACTTCCAACATGTTGGAAGTTTTTTTTTTTTTTTTTTTACACGGTGCAGTTTTTGCATTTATTCGCACAGCAGAAAAGCAACCAACAGAAAATCACGGAGTCATAGCAAACAAAACAAGATCATCGGATAATAAAAAGTGTGGCTAGACACGGCTACTCCGCAAGAGTCTCAGTCACGCAACTGACAGTCGTTGACTGCCAGCACAACAGGAGTGGCAGCATCCAAACGACTGCGGTAGGGAGAAGCACGGTGACCACGGAGGCTCATGTTGCAGGATCGAACCAAGGCAAAGGAGACAAGAGAGCGGATCCAGGACATGACGGAGGAGTAGGGTTCATGCCGCTTCTCCGAAACCATATGGCCAAGACGCTTCAGGAAAGCGTGGGCTACCTTGCCGCACCCACCAGATGCACTGAATACCAGTGGGAGAAAGGAAGCATGCTCCACCTCCCTGACGCGTTCTTCGTAGGCCCTTCTCTTCTGCTGTTCGTGCTTGGCATAGGTGGACGCGGGAGTTGAGGAAGTGTTGGAGCGCGCATGAGGGTTAAAAACCCGAACATCACAGAACGTGCGCTCAAAACGACTTCCCCAGACACCAGATGCCGCCACATCAAGACGAGCACCATCTTCCAAGATGGCAGAGCGATACCGGAGCCTTTCACCCTCCAGGGGCTGCAGAGGAGGTTCTATCTTCACATCCGTTGCCACTTCACGCAGTAGGTCGGCTGTCAGGTCGCGGATCGTGTTATGGCGGAGAGCCGGGTATCCACCAGTTGGGCACGAAAGAGCATGGCTGGTGTTAAATGCCTTGCCACACACACAAGTGGATGGCAGGCGGGGAGGGACCCAGCCGAACCGCAGACAGAGTGCGTCTCTGAAGGCGCCTTTGTGGAGGACAAACCCGAACTGCTTCAGGGGCCGGCAAGTGAGCCAGTTGGACGCTCCTTTCTCGGCCGCCATCCCCAGGGTTCGCTGGGTGGGCGCATCACATGTGGCCAAGAGCTGACTGGCTTGGTCTCGAGCGGCTCTCCTGGTTGCTGCTGCTGCAGTTAGCTTGGCAGCATGGATGGTGGTGGGCACTTCGTCCATGTTGGTATCTTGGTCCAGTATCCGGCTCACGAGGATGTTGGTGACAGCGACAGACATATTGTATTGGTCCGTCAAAGACCTCGGGTCAATGAGACCAAGACCACCTTCTCGACACGGGAGGGACAGTATGGCGCGCTCTTCGTCACCAGGTGCGGGGCGACTGGTTAGAGCAGGGATGAACCGCTGTCGGATGGAGTGCTCCAGCGGGTCTAGCAGTCCGCTGATGCCTGGGACCGTCCGGGCCACAAACGACCACTTGTGGCGGAGGCCATGAATAAAAGCAGTATGTTGGAAGTTCCATTTCGGCGCGTTTCCGTACGCATGGCGCCCCAAAAGCCAGCAAAAATACGCACAAACGCGTGGTTTCACGCGTACACGCGTCAGTTGTGAACACAGCTTTAGTCTTTGTGACATTGGAGCGGAAGTTATGTTCTGGCCGAAAAAAGGGCATGCCTCTGGTGACGTGATTTCTAACTAGTGTTTTTACGTATATTTTCCATGCATGTGTGCACAGATGTCAGCGGCAGGAAGACCCAGCAATGCCACAACTGGCACAAGCATACATACTTGACGACCATGTGGCCCAGAATGAAGCATTTGCTCCAAAGTGCCATCTGACAAGCGATTTACACATGACTCAATGCTGTCAGATTGGCAAAATTGGCAAAAGCTACACACATGCACATCCATCACGTCAGACCAATGCATTTATTGCAAGTGCGTCAAAGCACTACGACGCCAAGTATGCACAGCAGCGAAAGAAAATAAGCCACCAGTTAGCCAAAGCACATGCAGTGTACATGATTGCAGCGGAGCGCGGAGCGGCATCCGTACACTGTCCTGCAGACAAACTGCGCGTGCACAGTCTGAAAGAACAGTGCGAACCGCTCCTATGCCCGACCCATTACCAGCAGTGTGTGGGCCATGCAACATGTGCTTGGTGTAAGTCGAGACTCACACCAGAACACAGGTGGAAGTCACCAAACTTTCAGCTTGCAGAGCATGTGTTGCGTAGCATGCACCATGTCAGGATTTCAGACGAGAGTCGATTTTGTAGACGCTGCTACCAAAAGCAAATTGACATGCTCCCTGCCGACAATGCACCAAGCACAGACCACCAATTGCGAAGCATCATCTCTCAGTACAGCACGGAAGGTGCCGAGAGTGATTTCCCCAATATTATAGTCATTGCCGCTACAGGACGGGAATTGCTGGGCAAGGATGCCATATTGTTGACGACAGGGCACGATTTGTATACAGAGACTTTGCACCCAGCTGCTGACCCCAAGCCAGCGGTATACGTGCTCAGCAAATTGAAGTTGACCCTGGAGCACCACTTGCACGTCATTCCACCTAAGTCGCGGAAGGATGGCACATTGCTGCTACGCAATGGATGTAATGTAATGCTGAGAAGGCACTACATATGATCCTTTCTGCAGAGCGTAAACACAAGATAGAGCAAACACCAACAAAGCTGGAAGACCTCACTCCGCCATGCTCACAGCACAATTGATAGCCAGCAACCGAATAATACATGTACTTCACAAATATGGGAACCCATTTACACCAAGTGCTATTATCGAACAATGCCATTATGCTCCTAGCACGCGGCACAAGAAAATTATAGAGCTTCGCCAGAATTGCCTTGATTTTGTCGTAATGTGATGGTGTGTGCGTGTGTGTGTGTACGTGTGTGTGTACGTGTGTGTGAACATGGGAACCCATTTACACCAAGTGCTATTATCGGGCAATGCCATTATGCTCCTAGCACGCGGCACAAGAAAATTATAGAGGTTCGCCGGCATTGCCTTGATTTTGTCGTAATGTGATGGTGTGTGCGTGTGTGTGCGTGTGGTGTGTGTGTCACTGTGTGTGTGGTGGTGTGTGTGGGTGGTGTGTGTATGTATGTGTGTGTGTGTGTGTGTGTGTGTGTGTGTGTGTGTGTGTGTGTGTGTGTGTGTGTGTGTGTGTGTGTGTGTGTGTGTGTGTGTGTGTGTGTGTGTGTGTGTGTGTGTGTGTGTGTGTGTGTGTGTGTGTGTGTGTGTGTGTGTGTGTGTGTGTGTGTGTGTGTGTGTGTGTGTGTGTGTGTGTGTGTGTGTGTGTGTACATTACATATTGCCCTATCAAAAATATATAAATAAACTCGGATGGTGAGCCAATGTAATCATGGATAAAAAGAATAAGGACAAAATGTTACGAGTTATGACTAACTGTCCACCATGTACCAATGTCGCTAGATCATATACAGTCGGCGAGCGCGACAAAAAGGCACAAACTGACAGGGAATACTAAGACATACAACGACCAAATAATATTCAAGTTAATTTCGAAATGTCTATAATTTCGTGCCGTCGGATTAACCAAGCATACAACGAAAGGAAAGGTATACACGCTTAGACATATATTATTAGGCAATTATCTGCACCAACCTGCATTCCGGCCGAAGCATCATGTCGGGTGTGGTGGGTCGGCATTCCGACGTATCTCCACACACCAGGAAAATCGTGAAGCGAGAATTCCCTCGTCTGCAACTGGCAAAGTCTTCACTTGACACTCAAGTTGAAATTTCTAGATACCTAGCTAATAGGAGCAGACTTCAGGACATTTGTCGCACTCGGGAATCGTCAGTTCGATCCGTACAGGGTTGGTTAGACACAAGAAATATAGCAAATTTCATTGACTGACATCTTCATCTTTACCAACACAGTTCACCACATAAACTTTCGCGCGAAAAAAATAAAAAGACCCACTCAGCTGGCTTGGCGCATCGACTACATGTAGCCAGACCGTTCTTATTCACACGCGCGCGGCGAGTCGAGTTACGTCATGACGTTTGTCATGTACATGTACATGTAGTGCAATGTAGTACTTCTAAACTAGTGAGTGTCGTAAATGGGAATGACTGTACATGTAGCAGTTACTGTTTACACGTGTACATGACATGTACTCACCTCCCATACATGTACAATGTAGATCTACGTGTAAATTCGCAACTTCGTGTAAGTACATGTATGAAAATTTTAAAAGTGTTCTTAAATCTGATAATTCTAGCCTGGACTGTTCTTAAATTTTGCCGGTTTTCCAGCCTGGGTGTTCTTCGGCGAGGTGTTCTTCGGCGCCCGATCTTACTGTAGGGATCCGGGACGACTTGGGTTGCAACATGACCATGATGACTGTTCAACTACTACTAGTATTTTACTTGTTGTGAAACTCAAGGTCAAGGAAGACGACTGCCGTGTTGCTAGTAGTTCTTAGATGGGGCCTCTATGCGAGCCGCCATGTCTTGTCTCCGGTTTTGTCTTCACTCAGACAGACGCTGAACCGTCCTGTTGACCTCTCATCTGTGCTTGTGTGCTACGTAGATCTACTTCTTTAGTGGCTAGCATGCACCCAGTCTTTGCCGGGCAGTGAAATTATTTTTGTACACGGCTTGGGCGAAGACCTACGCGTACGAGCTTACAAGTCCTGTTTGAACGGAGTGGACGATCAAATCGTTTGGTCGCTTACCTGTTACCGAGTCGCCGGCGAGGAAACAGTCAGAACACTGGACTCCATCGGAGTGATATCGGAGGCTTCAAAAGTGCGGTACACTGCCAGTGAAGTCCGCTATCGCAGCTTTGTTCAAGGGCAGTCCCAGTGCATATAATATACCCGCCCCAGGAACATACCCGCATTGCTGACTCTGCTGACTGACCCTGGCCTCAGGCTAGCTGTCGTCACGCCGGCACTGAGCCCGCACGGCCGCTAAGTGAGCAACCCATCGCAAGCCCAAGCCGCGACTATTCGACGGACTGAGGAACACGTGCCGTGCCCGCTGCGGCGACAACGGCAGACGAGAGCAAAGTGGTAGCAACAGCAACAGCAACAGCAGCAGCAGCAGCGCTAACAGTAACGTTGTTTTAAGAGTGGCGTATGACTGCGGCAATGCGGCCCACTTACAGTGAGTACCCACGTCGGCAGCGCTACACCACCTGGCATCCGGCAGTGGTGTCTGCTTTGTTGGTGTTTGCCATGCTAATAGTGCCCAATCTAGCGGTGGATGCGGGCGCAGTGGCGTCGGGGGAACCCCTCGTGACTACTTGCCGTGGTGCCTGTAGCAGCTTGAGTACGAGTGAGCAATCGTACAATCTCTCTGGCTGTGATGAGTTCTTCACCAGGGCGGATGGAGCTGCTGTCGTGGACTGTTATAAGATGGATTTCACGGACAAGAACAGCTATGCAAATTGCTCCAGTCTGATTTTTCAATTTGACGATGAAACTTGCACGTCCTCGCTGGCTGCAGGGATTTATTGGAAATATCTCAACAAGACCTTGCCCAAGACGGAGTACAGCAGGTACCTTGCAAGTTGTCCACTTTCTAAATGTGTAGACCTGGACATTGACAGTACACCAGAGACGAAACTGATGCAAGCCTGTGTTCGCTTAGCAGCCATTAATGCAGTGAAGAGCGGGCTGGTCAAGTTGCCACCTGCGCCAGTTCAGGACTGCCTAAGTGATGCGTTTGCATCTCAGACCGATTCCAGCTCGTGCGGAAATGAGCGGCAGGATTTCTGCAGTCGGTGGGACGCCTGCAGCTGTTCTAAAGACGCGCATGATAACTGTGAGGGCGTGTGTTCAGTACTCACGTCAGTCCGACAGAACCCACGTCACCTCTGCAAAGTCCTAAGAAAAGCGCTATCTATGCATAAAAGCTACCTGGCCGCACAGATTCCATACCCAAGGGCTGAATTCGAGGACCGGAGCTTTGGCAATCAGAAGCTGCAGTACGAATGCAAGTTTCCTAGCAGCGATGAGACCTTGGTGATGTGCGACTACCTGGGCCAGCTCATCCGTGCAAATAATCTTTGCGTCAGCTCATGTGACGAAATGGACGAATTCAAGCTAGCATTGCCTGACAAGACTCGCAGCCCGGTGCTGCAGGATATTTTGAAAGAACTCAAGCGGCTTGTTGGTGAATTCCCTGATTGCTGCCAGTGGAGTAAGGCAATGAGAGGTGCACAGTATCTAAATGCAAACAGGCACAAGTTGGATGAGCTTTCCGCACTTTACAAGCTTCAACATAGCCATTTGATGGACGTTTGCCGCCCGCAGTTGATATGTGATCCTTTGGCGATAGGCTTCATGAATACTCCTTCTGACAAGTGTTCTTGGCGGATTGCAACTGCCTGTACCCAGGTGGTTGCTTTGTACTGGTTTAAAGGTAAGGACACCAACTGATTTACATTTTTGCCAAGAACTTCTATTCCCTTTGTGTCACGGTTGTTTCAGTGTATGTGTGCACGTGCGCTTGTGTGTGTGTGGGGGGGGGGGGGGGGGTGCATGCGCGTGTGTGTGTGTGTGTGTGTGTGTGTGTGAATGCATGTTCATGTTACACAAGCATGGATAAGTATATTGTTCTCAAAGGGTAAGCAGCAGCTTTCGGCCTCTTTGTAAATAAAGTAATTCCACCTCCACCAAACGTGCTCTCTGGCCAACCTCACCCACCAGCAACATGACTCCAAGTTGTATATACTGTTATGTACAGGTAGTTAGTATATTACGACTACCTTTTCACATGTCTCGTATTGCGGTTGTGAAGACACAACAGATACTGACAAATATTTGTTCTTCCGTACAGTGCTATTTCGACCACTATAGGTCTCATCAGTGAAGTTCGAGAATAATGAATGGCTAGAATTAATTTAAAAGTAAAAGACCGAAATGTACATGTTATCCGTAGTTTTTGTCCAACACTCCAGTGTAACAGATACAAGCAAGATGTTGTGTAGTCAGAAGGTGCAACAGCTAGCACAATACTGGCTGATGTGATATACTGACATTCAACGACCTGATGATAAGTTCTATCATGTCTTGAATGCGCAAACCAACAGCCTTCCAACTTGGAAGGTTCTAAGTTATGAAATAACATGAGAAAGGGGAAGGTGAGCGCACTCGAGACGAAAACAAGCTAAACATCACGGCAAACTAAGAAATTTAGTAAGAATGTTGGCTTTGACGAGATGTTGACGAAAGACGAAGGACCACGGCACAGGACGGCCACGGCTCACTTCGAGAACGCGAAACGACAACCACCCAAGGCTCATGTTTGTCGGAGATAAGCAAAAAGAGGGAAAGTTACGCGTGTGTGTGTGTGCCAGCTAGTTCGGTTGGTGGGTACACTTATGCCTGATTGTGTTGGGTATGTTGCCAACGGGCTCGGCTGCTTGAAGGTGTAGTGTTGTACCTGCAACCTTTGTTGGTTCCAGGGTTCATAATGTACTTTCTATTTGAAGTATGGACTGCTTCTGGCTAGATTTATTCTTGTGTAATCAATGGTGCTAGTGAAGCTTATATCAGATCCACTCTGATTCAGCCACCCACACTAGTAGCAAGTATTACCTTCACAGGGGGCAGGGGTAACTGCAGTTGGATCCCTGGACGGATACCCTGATGCCGTCAATCCCTTTTCTGCACCTTGTCCTCACCCACTTACTGAGGTGTGGTGAGCCCATAAGTGGGATCATTTTCAAGTCCACCCAGAGTTTTGGGGATTTCAGGGGGTGTCGGCTGTTGGGCGGTTCAATAGCCAATTGAGTCATTTATTTATTTATTTTATTTTTTTATTTTTATTGGGAACACAGCCCTACAAAGATCTTTCCAAGATTCCTTTTGAGTCTCTCTCCCCTCTCCCGGGGAGACCCACGTAACCAGTTTTGGCAGTAAGCAAAAGAGAGAGTACAAGTGTGTGTGTGTGTGTGTGTGTGTGTGTTCATGTGTATTTCAGAGCCACAAGGTGAAACTGAAGGAGAAGCTGCTCCAGCGTCTGTCGTGGAATCTAATCCAGAGGGGGACGGAGAAATTCTTCCACCTCCGGACGTGGAAGCTACTCCAGAGGCAGAAGGAGAAGTTCCTCCAACTCTGGACGTGAAAGCTAAACCAGAGGCGGAAGCAGAAGGTGCTCCAGAGTCTGTCGTGGAATCTACTCCAGAGGGGGGCGGAGACCTTCAACTTCCAACTCTGAACGTGGAAGCTACTCAAGAGGCAAAAGAAGGTGAACTTTCTGCTGATGAGGTCAGCTTGAGAAATGAAACTAATGGCAATGGAACTGCAACAAGCGACGCTGACCACAATGGAATTGTAACAAGCGACGCTGGAATTGTAACAAGCGACGCTGGAACTGAAACAAGCGACGCTGACCATAGTGGCGTAGAACGTAAGACTGTCCGCATCTGCTCTTTTCTCTTTTCTGATTATATTGTCTCCCTGACTTGGCCTCCCTGTGTGCTGTGCGTAGTATTGACTAGCTGACTGCGTGCAGTACTCCACTCGGAAGCTCCGACTGGCCAATTGTGCTTTCATGGTGAACCCGTGGTGGATCCCGGATCTTTGCTTATCGGGTGATATCTGTGGTGGCGGCGGTGCCGGTGCAGGGTGTTGATTGGGGGGGGGGGGGGGGGGCACCCTATGTAACCTACGTAAAGGCCTGAGAACTTCACATGGCTGACAAACGCCACCTCCTCATCTATATTGGCACTGATTCATCTTTAGCCACTGGAAGGTGTAACAATAATATTAAACCGTACACACATCGGTTTCACTGAGGGTGGAACACCAATGGGGGTTTGGCGGTGGTGGTGGGTGGGGGACGGGTGCATCATCCCCCTAAGTCTGCATATTGGATAGTATATGTTCGCGTTGACTTTTTTTAAGGGTCAAGTTTTAGGTCAATGTTAGAACAGAGGCCATGCAGCATGTCTGTGTATGATGGTCCTACCGGTAGGTCCTACTGGTAGGACCGAGGTCTATGCAAGCTATCATTAAGGGTTGAGAAGTAGCTGGAGGCTCATGACCAACCCACCATTGTCATACCGTTTGGATCAACGCTACAGACTGTGGGTCGCTTGCTGCTCTGAAGTTTCTACCTTTGCGTGCCTGAGGTACGGTTTGGTTCACTGCGTGTCTGCCTTTCTTGTGTGTGTCCTGTGTAGGCTACGGCACCTACCTGCTTGTACTTATCGTCTTTCTCGGTGTGGGATGGGCTTTGTTCACCTACCGAAATGAGGTAAGTTTTGAAGAAGAAGAAAACGCTGATTTTTCATCTTTTCCTCCTGGTGGCGGTCGGTGGTGTTCTTTTGCTGCTGTTGTTGCTTGATGGAACATCCACACGGGCACATGGCAGAAGAGGGGGAGGGGGGGGGGGACATGTGCTCATCACACCTCAAAAATGACTCTCTGTCACGAAATAGACCCACACGTGCTTGATGATTGTGCACGCTTGGTCATCTTCCATGTAGATCAACCAAGCAGTTTTCGCTGGCGCTTCCTTTTTGGCATGTTTTGTTTCGACTCGTGTGATGTGTTTGGCTGCTTTTGTCAGACCAGAACTTAACATTTCCCCTGGACTACTTGTAAGTGTGAGAGTCCCACTCTACTCTTCTGCCAAGAGTGTGATATTCGTGCCTAATCTGTCGTGATCGCAGAGCGCCCACTGAAACGACGTATGCTGAAGGTTAGCACACGTCGTTTTGTCGTTTTTCGGCATGAAACTCTTGTCAATTCTTCTCTCTCTCTAAAGGAGTTATAACAAAATCAATGAAGATTGCACGGGTGCACGAGCCGCTCTCGAGCCACTGGTCACCGTGCCTGGCCATGATGCACATTCCACCGGTCCATGCCGCTGAGTGACACTGCCGACTTGTACTACAACGATCCTGCGTTGAAGGCGTTGCCTGAAACAGCACTTTCACTGGTGGCGAGAAGGGAATAGCCATGGGCGGTTGACTCTTTAACCCTTTGACTCTCCCCATAACACCACTATTTAGCAATAGCCATAATTTTCGCTCAAATAGTGTCAACATTCGGTCATAACTTACGTTCTAGTAGCCTGATTTCCACAATCTTGCCATTGATTGGCTCGTCTAGGTTCTTTTTTTTTCTTGTCAAGGAATTGAAAAGGTACGTGGGCGGGTGACGCGAAACATAGAAGTAACTTGGTGTGGCCTTACATGGATGACATCATTGTGTCTGGTACGACGATGGAAGAGCATGACCGCCACCTGGCGGCCGTTCTAACTGCTGTGTTGCGCGAGGTGACGCTCAACAAAGACAAGCGTCGCTTCCGCCAGAGCCAAGTGACCTTCCTCGGCCACATTGTCATGGCCGGTGGGGTCCTACCAAATCCAGCACGAGTCTCCGCCCTGCAGAATCTGCCGGCACCGACGAACGTGACGGAGCTACGACGAATCCTTGGAATGTTCAACTTCCTGTCACGTTTATCCCAAATCTTTCGGACGTCAGCACACCACTACGCTGTCTACTACGTGACGACACCGCATGGCAATGGTCGCCAGTCCAGCAAGCAGCGCTGGATTCCCTGAAGCAGCTTGCATCCGCAGCTCCTTGCCTGGCGTACTTTGACACATCCCGCCCCACAATTGTCAATGCCGATGCCAGCAGCTATGGGTTGGGCGCGGTTTTACTACAACAGTACGGCTCTGAGACCCGAGCTGTCGCTTACGCGTCGAGAAGCCTCACCGACACTGAGCGCGAATATGCACAGATCAAGAAGGAGTGTCTTGCTGTAGTCTGGGCCTGTGAGAGATTTCACAGCTATGTCTATGGGTGTCCATCTCTCACTGTGCAAACCGATCACAAGCCGCTCATTCCCTTCATCAACACGAGAGACCTCAACTGTGTGCCTCTACGATGCCAGCGTCTGCTTATGCGCCTCCTGGCCTAAGCACCGACAGCCGTCTACGTACCCGGTAAGGAGCTCGTTGTCGCGGATGCACTCTCCCGTGCCCCGGAAGTACACAGCGTTGAGCCGACACTGCAGGAAGAGATCCAAGTCAATATCTCTGCCGTCATCAGCGAGATCGTGTCCGACCGGAAGTCTGCTGAAATCGCCACCGCTACTGCACAAGACGATGCCCTGAGTAAGGCGCTGCGCTACATCCGCCAGGGCTGGCCATCAACGCCACAAGCCGCTGAGGACGACGTCAAGCCCTACTACAACGAACGTCACCTCCTGTCCTGCGAACGAGATGTCATCTACCACGGCTTCCGCATCGTCACACCCCCTTCGCTGCAAGCCGAGATGCTGGAGAAGCTGCACGAAGGACACCAGGGTGCTACCAAGTGCAAGGCTCGGGCACGCAACTCGATTTGGTGGCCCGGCCTCGCAAGGCAGATCGACAACATGATTGCCACATGCGAAACATGCCTGAAGCACCGCTCTCAGCCGACCGAGCCGCTTCAGCCCATCGAGCGTCCACCGTTGCCTTGGCAAACCATTGGTGCTGACCTGATGGAGCACGGTGGTACAACTTACCTAGTAGTTGTCGACTACCTATCTCGCTACCTCGAAATCATTCCACTCACCGCCACTACGTCTGTTGCAGTAGTCAAGCACCTGCATCGCATCTTTGCTGCACATGGTTTCCCGTCTACCATTGTGAGCGACAATGGCCCGCAGTTCTCTGGAGAAGCGTTCGCAACCTTCTGCTCAACATACAACATGTCACACCGTACATCTAGCCCGTAGTACCCACAGTCTAATGGCGAGGCTGAGCGTGCCGTTCGCACTGCCAAGAATCTCCTTCGGAAGTCTGACAATCTGCACGATGCCCTTTTGCCATATCGTTCAACGCCTCTCGCCAATGGCTATTCCCCGTGTCAGCTGCTATATGGTCTCCAGCTGCGCACAGGATTGCCATCGACTACCGATCAGCTACAACCTCAGTGGCCTGACCTAACGACCGTCTGTGACACCGAGTCACACGCTCAGGAGCAGCAGAAGCAGCATTTCGACAAGCGACATGCTGCCAAGCCTCTGCCTCAGCTCATTCCACATGACCGAGTGTGGATCACAGATCTTGAGAGGGAAGGTATTGTGCTGGAGCAAGTCTCTAACCTATCATACAGCGTGAAGGCTGGACCGTCAACTGTACGCCGCAACCGTCGACACCTCGTCTGCCTGCCGCGGCTGGAGACCGATGGCGCCGTTGATGTGGCCTATGGTACTACACAACCGGCCGCGCCGCTTGCGCCTGTGCCAAGCCGCTCCGCACGTGAAACCCGTCCACCAGACCGACTGATTGGGTCCTGCTAACACTGCCTCACATTACTGTCGATACGCATCATGCTCTTACCTGCCCAATATGATGTGCATGTGAAGTAGTTTCAGTCCTCTCTCATTTCTGTCCTCTCGTCCATCTTGTTTTCTATCTCAGAGGGGAGGTGTTGTGGATGTACAATCCATATTCGTGTTTGACCTTCCTGTGCATTCATACGTTATTGCCAATCATGTCTGTGTGCGTACCGTCGAGCGTGCTCTCTACTTGCACGTGCAATATCCCAGCATGAATGATGTACGCACTGCCCTGCTGTTCTCTCTCACTGCTTTATCATGGGTGGTGCATGGGTTCTTGAAGTTAGTTGTAAACTGGACCGAGTCTTGTGTGTCTTGGTTGACGACTGAGAGTCGTTACAGTGATTTCCCCGGTTCATGCTCGAAAATGTGCTAGGAGCGAGAAAAGTGCCGTCCTCCAACTTTCGAGCGCGATATCTCAACAACCGTTGGAGAAAACGATTGTACCAACGGAAAGCTGAGGACTTCAGCTACACCCTACATACTTTGATTTTCACGATAGTGCAATATTTGAATGAGTTATGGCTGTTTGAGGTCATCGACGGAATATCGTCGAAAAATTGTATAGTGGGGACCCAAAGGGTTTTAAGAAGAACGAACACCACTGCGTAGCATTTCTGTGTCGTAAAATAAATACACGTCCATTAGCGTAATGGCCAAGTTTGTCACTATTTCTTCGTCATACCTATTACTAATCTGAAGAAGGGCTGAGGCTTCCTGCAGCTTCATCTGTGAAAGGAATTCGGGTGGGCACACCCATTCATGATTCCGACATTGTTCTCTTACCTGACGATGGCCAAGTGCCGAAACGTTGTAAAATAACGGAACTGGTTGGGATGTCCAGCGCTATGAGAATGGGTGTGTCCACCCGAATTCCTTTCATACCTATTACTGTTGGTAGTTTATTTATTTAATTTTATATATTTTTATTTTTATTGGGAACACAGCCCTACAAAGAGACATGTGGAGACAAACACAAAACAAGACACAGGGGATGTAGGGACGACGTGCCGATGTACAGGGAGCAACTCGACCGACCAGGGGTCTCGGCGTTAGCGTTGCAACCTGGCATCGAAAAAAAAAAAGGGGGGGGTTGCATGGTCAAGTAGCAAAAATAATTTGGTGCGAGAAACGGGCGCTAGTATTGCACTAAAAAATATAAATACGTGTAATAACTAAACCGGAAGGGAAAAAGAAAAGAAAAAACAATAATCATCACAAGCAAAGTACTTCGTACTAGTAGAAAGGTAAATACTAAATGGGTCTCAATATCATCGTCACAGGTACTGTGTGGACCACAGCCATCTCTTTCGGATTAGATCCTTACATACGTTGACCTTGAAGGTTTGGAGGCGTCTTGAATGAGGTTCGTGAAGCAGGAGGTCCGCAGGCAGGTTGTTCCAGGGTGTGATGGCGAAGAAGGGGAAGGATCGCAGGAGGTAGTCAGTGGCTGTGTGAGGGGGTGTCTACTTCAGCTGGAATAACGGTGCTAATGAGTTCGAGTTGTGCTTTATGCATTGGAGAACGCAACTCGAAATGCCCGGCCGACCAGAAGGTGGCCATGTAACGACGTGTTGTTATTTTATGGAAATGGTTTGGATCATTACTTTGGAATGGGTCTGCGTACTCAAGTCTTTTTCCTGCAGATCATTGCAACGTGGAAGAAACCCAAGACTTCTTCTGGCATTTTTAAACTTAGACCTGAGACAAGACATCGAAAGGGAACCTAAATCTCTTCTCCATCATGTTCTTCTCCTGTGTCTTGTAGGCGTTAGTTTGCCTTGCACAAGGTGGCAAGGACAAACACCTAGGTGTGCACCGGCCGAAACCGTCCATCGAAGATGATTATGAATATTCTCCACTGCCTACTAATCTTGCAGGTGCTCTATCAAAAAATGATTGATGGTCCTTTCAGGTTCAGGGTTCTTTCAGGACTCGCGATTTTCCACTCTTGTTTCATGTTCAAGCATGTAACATTGACGTATTCATTTCCTCTATGTCCTTGATTTCCATGAATCGTGTGCACATTTAGATGCATTTAAAAAGTGCATTTTTTATCACTCTTGCTTGGCCGTGTAGTGTGTTTTCAGTCACCTGTTGCAGTGCCCTTTGCCATCTCGCTATTCATAGGCCGATCCATGTGCGTGCATACTCCATGCATGCATTTGTGTGTGTGTGTGTGTGTGTGTGTGTGTGTGTGTGTGTGTGTGTGTGTGTGTGTGTGTGTGTGTGTGTGTGTGTGTGTGTGTGTGTGTGTGTGTGTGTGTGTGTGTGTGAGTGTGCGTGTGAGTGTGTGTGTGTGTGTGTGTGTGTGTTAGAGAACTTCCCTGCCTTTGCCCGGTTGGTTCCTGTATGCCAAGCCTATTGTAGCAAGACCTACATCACGCCTACATGTATTGTAGCATGACCTATCTCACTCCGGTCTAAACTAAAATGATGCCTTGCTGATGACCAGTGATTTTTTTTTCGAAAATAAGGGAATTCTCGCACAGCTTGACATAGACACAGACACACACGCACACACACACACACACACACCACACACACACACAGACACACACAATTCCAGCATGACGCCATGCTGCCGTCTCTACACGTTTCTTTTTAGCAGATGTTGGTGTCATCGGCCATCCTTATCCTTATTCAGGCCTTTGACGTTTGGTTGAAGTTTGAACCTTCTCTTGAACGACTGTTGCTGGCCAATTAGCGTTTCTTACTAAACATTGTGTCACGTGCTGGCTGCATGCACCCCACACTCGATTTACTAGTAGCTTTCTTTCAATGTTTTTGGCAATATCTACCGAAGAGAGAAAGTCTTCTGTGTGCTTTCTAGTTCTTTTACCCGTAATTCTAGTTCTTTTACCCGTAATTCTAGTTCTTTTACCCGTAATTCTAGTTCTTTTACCCCGGTAATTCTAGTTCTTTTTCCGTAATTCTAGTTCTTACCCGTAATTCCAGTTCTTTTACCCGTAATTTCTTGTTCTTTTACCCGTAATTCTACCTCTTACCCGTAATTCTACAGGTATTTCTTTTACCCGTAACACTTTTTCATCTTTTTTTTGTGTTTTACCCTATGATCCGGATAAAAAGTTGGTTCGAAAGTTACAAAAGCAGGTTGTGTTGGACAACTAGTTCTTTTTCTGCAAAAGCCGCGTATCTGCAATCACAAGGAGTGAGTAATGGGAGTGTGGTGACGGGATCCATGTGTCTACCTCCGCCAAGGTCTCAGCATCATAGCTTGATGCATACGCCAAGGATAAAAAATACTTGAAGAAAAACATGGAGACACAGAATAATACGTCGCGGTATGGTGTATGTTAATGCTACAGAATAATATGAGAAATAAGAATACTGTATAACACCTTTATTTCGGTGTAATTTAAATTTCGGTAACTTCGGTACTGGTCCTGGATCACCTAATTTAACATTACACCTAAATTTTCCGAAATACCAAAAATATGTAAAAATCATGAAAATCACTGTCTAATTAAAAAAATCAACTTGTATACTGGTACAGTGTGTACCGGTAGTACATTGTACATACATAACATGTACCGGTATACATATGTGGAGCCTTTTGGCCTTGCTTGGCGGAGATATTAGTGCAAGAGCGTTTTTTTTTTTTTTTTTTTTTTTTTTTTTTGTGCCATGCACACCGAATTTATCCTTACACCGAAAGGTCAGGGGTTGGCTTTTACCGAAATTTTACAACACCGAAAATAAGGTGATATACAGTATGCATGCTGATGATACACCGCATTGTGGATGTAAAACATGGTACCTGTACAAGAGTCGACAAGCCATCAACAATGGTGAAATGTTTTAAAAAAATCGAAAATTATTGGTCTGGCGGCCTGCCGGACCGGTTCCTACGCCCATGTTATAATGCTCGCACTACTCCATAATGCCAGTTTGAAAGTTGGAAAAGTCGATTTAAGAAGGCCGTCTTGGATCAAGGCCAAAGCGTAGAAGAAGAAAAACTTGAACAGCAGTGAGCATGTTGTCTGAAACAATCCACTGAGAAGGTTGATTTGCAACGTCAAGTCTCCGGACGAAGCCGAACGGGTTCAGATGCACAATTTTCGGAACTGGACCTAGCCAGCTTCATCCATGACACCGTTGTCAACCGGCAATTATAATTATGCTTGTAATGCCAATTTTGCATGCGAAATGGTGTTATAATGCCAGCATTATGCCACCTGGAAAAAAAGGGACTATAATGCCAGCCATAATGCTAGCATTACCCGCCCATGCCTAACACTGGCACAGTGACAGGAGAGCCGGAATAGGGCTTGAAAGTGATGACGTCAAAACGGCCAGGGAGTAGTAAGTTGACATCAGATTTCTATTTTTGGATCCACTAAGGCCATATAAGGTGTGACTTTGCTATTGCCTAAGTATGTGGGTGCATAGCAACCCACTCATGTCGCATGCAGGTGTGACTTTTATTTCGCCACCAGTTGTAACCCCGCCCCCAGTAGCCAAATCAGTCAGTTTCACTGGCTACATCACCATGCTGTGGGTAAGACCGCTTGAAATGTGCTTGGATCCATACAAAAACTGGATCCAAGTGGATCCAGTTTTTGAATTTTTGAAATTGTTGCTATGCTGTGACGTAGCACTTTCAAGCCCTATGATGTGGATCAAGAATGTACATGCAGACAGCGCCTAAAAGTAAAAGGGTTGCACACTCGTCACGTGGGCCACAGTACATGTACTACGGCATACTGTAGTAGGGTGCTCTGGTCTAGATGGCACTGCTCCGTGTTCTTTTCCTACTGTACTGCCTTTCCTTTACATGTATGTTGGACTCAGTAGAGCGTCCAGCGCCTATATGATGTCCACCCCTATATAGAGTCCATTGGTCCAAAATCCACTGTACAGAGTCCAAACTTGGAATCAACTGTGAGCTCAAAGTTTAGATGGACATCACTCCCTGTATAGAGTCCAGGCAATTGGCTTCACCCCTATATAGAGTCCATTGGTCCAAAATCAACTGTATGGAGTCCAAACTTTGAAATCAACTATAAGGAGTCTTTATGTGGACAACACTCCCTGTATAAAGTCCAGCCATATAGGCATCCCCTATCCAGAGTTTGAAATTAGACATAGGATCTGCTGTAAGCAGTGAATATTAACCAGAAAACGGCCTCTCCCTTTAATCCTTTACATCATTCACTTCTCAAGATAAATAATAAGTATGAGGCGCCACTGCATCCACTTCATTACATGAAAAACCCTACAAACACCATCCTCAAATCAAGTGGTCTCTTCGCATACGCTGCAAATTACAATATCTCAATCATGTAGTGTTGCCAAATTATTGTGCACGCACACACATACATGCACACAACGCCAAGAAAATACCTAGAAAAAAACAATCGAAAGAGAATAATGGAGAGACAAGGATTAATTATTTGTTTTCAAATTCTTGTGTGCGCGCGCGCGCACACACACACACACACACACAAACTTATACAACGCCAAGAAAACACCAAGAAAAGAGTAGAGACACAATACACACGCAACTCCAACAGCCATGCAAACGTCCACCCATTTACACATAAAGTCAAGAGGGATAACAAAATTTTAAAATAATTATACGAAACGAATGCATACGTGGGCGGATGCACGCACGTTTACATACATGTAGTAGACTAGTAGTGTAAGAGAATAACATAGTGCAGTAGTCAGCATAATACTAGCACATGCTGAGAGTGCAATAGCAAGCTTCATCATTGCTCATGGCCATGTAGTCCATCGGCCAAGTCTCAAAATCGAAAGTGGTGATGCACTGAGCTTCCAACTAAACGCGACCATACCCAGCACGTAGAGAATATATCAGAGAACACTATTCCGTTTGTTGGACGTGCCGAATTCAGTCCAGGGCGTCGATACGAAGCGTTCTTCGTCGCCGAGTTTTTTACTGTGCGCTCCATTTGAGAGTGCGCAGAGTTCTGATCGAGAGTTTTTTGAGCAGATTTTCAAATTTTTGAGGCTGTCAGCTGACAGCTGTCAACCCTAAATGGCACTTAGTATGTGACAGGCAATAGGTTTTGGTGCCTCCGTATGCCTTCTATTTCTAATAAGTTCTATCTTCCTTCGTTTCACTTCGCTGCTTCGCCCACCACCTCAGGAGATGACAGCGTACCTGCACTAGTCAGCTCTCGCTAACCCTGTCTCTCTTTCTCCGTCTTAGCGCTCGTCATTCGTGTCCTTCTGCTGGGGCGAGCTTGATACTGTTGTGTCGTAGTTTTTAGGCAATAGTGGCTGTTGTTCGCGTGACGATCAGGATTTATGGAGAAAGACGACGACTCGCCAAGTTCCCATGCAGCCACAGACGGCGTAGCAATTCTTACCGCCAACCCTTCGAGCAACGGAACCGGCCTGAGTTGGAAATCGTGTCTGTGTAATTGTGCCACGATACGGATGAAACACACAGGCTCACATGTGACGAGATGAAGATAATCTCAACAGGCTGACGGAAATCCAACAGGCTCACGGGAACGCTGCAGTTATGGTCGGAGACGCGGAGTTATTTAGTCACTGGTAAATGTTGCATCGAGTGCTGTGGGCTCTAACACAATTGTAAAAATCATGAAAAAGCGAAAATAATGCAATGGTGGGGCTGAGTGGTGTTCTGTGGAGGAGACGTCGCTGTCTGAGTATTCAACGCCGGACCCTGTATTTCAAGTCTGTGATCATGCTCGATCATAAATTCCTGTATGGCTCCAGTGCCTTCTCAGCATTGTTGGCGGGTAAGCACCTGGATCGTGTCCAAGTACTGCGGCTCTGGTGGCTTGAGGGATGTACGGGTGCTCGCCGTGCACCCCTGCCGGCAATCTGCTAGTGAAGCTTGGTACCTACTGTGTCCGGGAGATTTTCATCCAGAAGCTGATCTTCCTAGGCTGGAGCTGCTGCTACTCCTGTGCTAGCCCTCAACCACTGGTGCTCCTACTCGGCTCCAGTGTGGGCCATTAACCACCCTGCCCGATTTCGCACTGTTGCTATTCCACACCGTCAGCATTTAACTCTGAGGTCAGACCTTGATCCCTCGCACCATATGCTATCTGTCTGTCTGCCTCTCTCTCACACACAGATGTGCACGCATAATCACAAACACGCATGCACACACACACGCATGCACACACAGTGACACAAACATACACATAGCCAACTTCTCTGTGTTTGGTGATCATATCTGTTTTCTGATGTGCAAGCTCACCTCTGATGCCGACTACTTCCTTACTTAGACCCGGTCTGCTATTAG